GGGAAAAATTTTTTTTAAAAAAAATTTTTTTTTTTTAAAAAAAAAAATTAAAAAAAAGGGGGGGGTCCCCCCCCCCCCCCACTGTAGACAGTTTGTGTTTTGAACACAATGCTAAAGTTGCTGTTTACAGCAGGATACAAAGCCAGCAATACTTAAAGAATAATTCTGTAACTCTGAATCATGCAGTTTCATGGTGAAGAAAACAATTCAAATACCACAGCACAAAAGTTGACCTATTGAAAATTAAACTGCTATCAATGCAGTGATCAATATGCAAAGCACTCACACACTAAACAGTTCTATTTTTATACTATGATTCTGATTTTTTTTTTTTTTATGCTAAGTCACAAAGCAAGTCCACTATTTCTTTTGGCATTAGAATAGGCAATCTCAGCTCGGGAAGGACGCAAGTCTTTGATAACTGAACAAATTTTTCATACTTGTATGTGAGGCAAATAAGTTTGGTGTTCGGTTTGCAGCAATGGAGACTCAAAATTGGTAAACCCACACCACAATTGGTCTGTTGGGGTTTTGTTTGTTTGTTTTGGTTGGGTTTTGTGGCTGGCTTTTTTTTTTTTTAAATCAAGTTAGTCTATCACTTCACCCTCTTTTAAATAGGTTCTGTGAAAATCTAGCACATTAGTGATGCGCCCCTTAGATCAGCACAAAGTTCCTGCAGAGCAAGAAAACTAAAGCCAGATTGAATATCTACCACACAACATGCTTTCAATATTTACTCTAATAAGTGTTAGTTATGCTTATTTTAGAGTTAATCTAGCCTAACATCAACACTTGCTACTAAGTCAAAACAAATTTGTCATGAGGCTTGCGTTATATGTGAACATGCAACAATTTTAGTATGTGTAGGATATTTCCACAAATACGTAGATGACAGAGAAACTACATTGTGATTCCCTGAAGAAATCTTAAGAGAAGGAAGTTCAAACACTTAATTGTGTGTTCTGCAAAGATGTACTACTCATATACTTTGAATTTGCATGACAAGTCATGCAAGCAACCCCTGCAACATCAGCATCATTATGCATTTTTTTCCTGGCCCCTACACACTGCTTCCCAGTCGAGGAAGAGTGGCCAAGCTTAGTATGGCATTGGTTTAATAACCTTAACTTTCGTTTGGTAACTAGAACATGAAGCAGCTGCAAAACCCACACAAATGCAACAGGAAAAAAGGGGTAGAAAACTTGCAATACTGACATCTGCCAGTAATTTCGACTAACAGACTTGTTATAAATCAAAAACTTAATCACAAGTCTTGCTTCAAATTACTAACCATCATTGGTACAAAAGTCACTCAAGAGCTATTAATCTATTAAATGGCCAGCTTCTTGTCTACAGATACCCAAATAATTTAAACATTCAACAGAAAACAGCATCTTTAAAGACTCTTGCCCACTACTTTTAAAGAAACATTTGCTGAAATCCAAAGAGTTGCAAGTTACCCAATAAAGACATGTTCTGCAGCTCAGAACAAAGTCTGTAATGGCCATGCAATTATTTTAAAATAAAAAGCAACTCTCTCAGCACTCCCTGTTCTCAAAATTCAGAAGTAGAAATCAGGAATTCACACCACTTTCCAGTCATACTGCAGTCTTAATTAATTTACAGGTAATTTAATACTCTAATTCAATTTTCAGGTAAGTATACAAAATACTTAACACATGACACATGCGTTTGTAAACAAGCTAGCCTTTTATTCCTTATCTGAAAGATGTCCAAAGCTGGCCTGAAAGTAAGCTAGCCAAACTAAATCATCAACAGGAGAAACAAATATAAAATCTAGAAATCACATTGTAAACACTGGACAGTAATTCTTCCATATGGTTAAAAGCAGGAAATAAGCCAGAGCTGGTAAAAGGCTGCACCACCAGGAGAATACAGAATTGGTTAACAAGTCATAACCTTAGATTTTTTTCCTTAAGCAGAGTTCAATAATAATTTTCAAGACTAGACTATCCTTTAATCCGAGTAGCTGACTGCTACAGTTGGCTTTCTATGCTACAACCAACCTTCTAGTTGACATCTAATCCTTACACGTTAAAGAAACAAAATCTGAAGAAAAATAGGCCTGTGACATGTTGAACTTAATCCCTATTAAACAGGGCACAAATACTGCATTTCTGCAATTTCACACATTTCCAGGAACTCTGGGAGTTCAAGTTATATACCAATAAGATATATAATTTTAAACCTTAACATCTACAGAGTCCTAGAGCAAATAATGGTATAACTGGAATAGTCGCTTCAGTCACATAGTAAGATTTGGCTTTATTTCCCCTACAAGGACAGTTTTTCCAGTTTAAGTTATTTACTCTTTTACCCAAACTAATTTCCAAGATATTGAAGTTCCCTACGCAAGCTGGTAAATTAAAGTATCATTAGAGAAGATATTACTATATGTTGTAGCATGTAATATTTTAAATAATTCCTGTTGGAGTAGTTATTCCTATGAGCAAATGTTAATCCTACAACTACATTGTTTACATGATTTCATTAATTAGCTATCTAACAATTTAGCACTTGTTAACTGAGAAGACCCAGCTCAAAGCAGAGTCCATTTGCTTCAAAATCACATAATATATCAAGCCTATTAGGTGCAATTATAACGCTTAGTTATCAAAGACACCTATTCAGAATTATTCAACAGTGAATTTGTGCAAATCCTTCAAGTTCAAAATCAAAATAATTCCCTAGTAATGACATTACACTTCATTTTATAAAGCTTTGTTTTATAAACTAGTCAAAAGAAAACAGAATATTTTAGAACAGTTAACAGTCATCCAGCAGGACTTAATAAGAGGCCATGACAATGTATGGTTCTGGGATCTTCAGTGTTCTGGCTCATTCTATATGCTATTACAATGGATACTTTAAGATTAAAGGTACTAGAAAACAAGCCCTTATCTCAAACTATACCTTCACCACTTCACTGAAGAGATATGAGTGACCTAGACTCCTTTCCAGTCCTTCATCTCTTTCTGGTACGAGCACACAGAGTTCAACTCCCTGTGAAAGGTTTTGCTAGTGAGAAGGCACATTCACAGGAGGAGGGTGGTTTAAAACTTCCACTCTGTTTAAACAAACACACATCTAAGACTCAAAGCCAGCTTTCAATAGATTTGTATGCAATCAGAATCACCTCCTCAGATACCTATTATAAAGCATTAGTTCGAAGCCAGTGTCCAAGTGTGATTTCAGGCTGCAAATCAAATTTTATATTGACACAAATAGGTAAAAGGTAAAAAGTCATTTAAGAAAGAAAGGGGAAGAGAGAGAGGAAGACAATTCAGTTTGGATACACCACTGCACGTCCTATAGTTGGACAATGCTCACTGAACTAGAGGTTGTGAATTGCATTCCTCTCCTTTTTCCATAGATGGTGCATAAAGGAACTTTCACTTTCTTGAGGCAGAGTTACTCCATAACCCACCCAATAGTCTGTTTAGCACTTTGTATGACATTACATTAGAAGGCTTTAACATAAATATTTATCTTACCAACTTCTATTGCTAACCATTACTTCAAGCTTATTACTTCCTGCCCTATTCAACAGGAGTACAAATCACAGATTGTGTTCTTGCTAGCATCCTTTGAGCTCCCCAAGCAGTCCATCTCTGAAGCATGCTGCTCAAAAGCAGAAATACCATTCCAGGTGAGACTTCACCCATACTGGAAAAGAGGGGCTACTTCCCAAGAGGGATGGGCTACTTGTTATTAAAAAAATGGACACTTTTTTTGCAGAAATAATATCAACTGACTTTTAGGAATTTAATCTAAAATGTCTCCCTAGCTAGCTTACAATGCTATTACTTAAGTCTTAAAATTGTTAGTCAAAATGTGTGTTTTTTTCAGCTTCTCTAACACTGCAGAATTCCAATTTGGCATGAAGAGCAGAAAACCTTCCAATTAAAAAAAATAAACTAGTTTTCCTGTTCTCTCATTGGTACATACACACACTTTTTATTCCAAAATTCCTTTGGAAACATACATTGAAATTCTTCTATAGCTCCACATTTTAGAGAAGGGAAAACTGATGTTCAGCAATGCAATATGCAAAGTGATAGAAGAGTCATCTCAGTTTAGGTCACAAGTGTGTCTACTCACAAATAATAGCCTGCAACTCAATCCCAACGTAAATCCAGTTTCAATTACTTAACAAGTTATGAATTTGATTGCATTAATAAATCTGATCTTCAGATAGCAGTGTGATGGTAAGGGGCAAAGCAATAATAATAAATCCTTACCGTTCTCTGTTAAATTTGAGGGAATGAAGTATAGCAGGTCTCTTCTGACGTAAGTTCCACAGGTGTAAGGTATCATCAGCCAAGGCACTCACAAGAGCTCCCTATGAGAAAGAAAGTTTTAGTCAACTTATTTTCATAATAACCCTAGTAACAGTGTATCATCATAGTGGAAATGTATTACATATTTGCCTCCAGGATGAAAAAAAATAAGCACGTGCATCAACATCACAGCACATGTAAGTTCCAAGTAGCAGCAGTGAGATAACTGATGTGGTCATTTATCATTCAGCTCATTGATGTTTGGTTCAGTGCTATACTAAGGAAGGATGGGGAAGGAGAAGCTTTTTCTGGTGTGTGCGCATCAGTTCCCTCATACCCACCTCCATAAAGAAAGTAAGCAATGAACTGAACTGCTAATATCTACACACTGACACAGCTAGTGAGGTTTGACCTCACCATTCCTCTGAGCTAGAAGTCCCTCTACAGATCTGGCCCCAGTTAGCTCAAGAACAGCACATCTCAGCTACTACACTCTTAGAAAAAGCACACCTGAAATTACTGAGGGATCAGATTACGGATATTTGCTCAGCTGATGTCTAAAAGAGTAACTCTATCAAAATTAACTACCCATTGAAACTGTTAGTACTGTTGAAAACATACTTTACTACTTCGACAGATAACTTGCAATGCTCAACGACATGAATAAATATTCCTAGGAAAAAGAGTTCTTACTTCTAGCAAATGAGCATTCTAGAGACAAAGTTATTTTCAGCAGTTAATCAAGCATTTTCTAAAATTAAAAAGTTAATTTATTTGCAATTGTTATTACTACTTGTCATTCATGCTAAGAGTCACTTGTGTTAGCCAATTCTAATGCTTGCTTAACAAGAACTTGAAGAAGATACAGAGTGTGTCCTCTCTGAACACGTACATCATTTTACTAACCTCATTAATCAGGAACTGAAGCTGTATTACTGCAGCTCCACTGTCATGCTGGCAGTAGCATTCAACTCCTGGCCGACCAAAGCTGCAATTGGTACTGTTAAGGAATAATCATCATATACAACACGGGGGGAAAACAAAACAAAACAAAACCACAAACCCACCATAACCAACACCGTCACTATTACCATTACCACATTGAAACAGGTTAACATCCTGCTTCTAGCCAGTGCGCTCAACATATTTAATCTAGATCTGATTGATCACCAAAGAAGTAAAATCACAAAGGAGTTAAAACACCCATCTTATTTATCCCCATAGAATATGAAAATTATGTATAAGTGCTTAACTTACAGTTATTTGAACGATTCTTCATGAATGAGACAACGGAGAATAATGAAGCAGTTATTCTAACAGGTTAAATATCAGGAGTAGTATGAAATAAAATTAATTAAAATAAACATCATAGTCAAATGATCACATTTTTCAAAGAGCTTTCTCTTCTTTTTTAAACACTAGAGATGAAATGAGCTGAATAATGCAAGGCATGTAAAAAAAAAAATCTGCTGTGACAGAGATAAAAAGATCAGTAGCCAAAATATGGAGGAGTCAATGGGAAATTATGTATAACAAAAATTTCTAGGATCTCTGTATCAAGACTTCCTGGATTCACACCAACTATGAGATAACAAAAGCTTTTTCATTTTCCCTCCCACACATAAATCAGTTCTATACTTCCGTAATGAATATCAAATAGAAGCAGCAGCAGCAACACAGATTCTTTCAGTTCTCTATACAAGGTTCACTTGTTAGTTGCAAAGGTTCTGTATTTCAAATGTGGTTATTCCCCTCCTGATACAAAAATAAGGAAATTCTCCAACCTCCAGGAGACAGCAGGGATAATTTAAGTCCAGAAGAATTACACAAAGTGGTCAGTATTCCATTATTATAGCATGCCCAGGGTTTCTGGAGTAAAATTTGCCAGAGCTGAACTATTCTTGTTTCAAAGAGGCACTTTAGATTTTGGAAGAAAAGAAATAATTCCAAGAGCTGAACTATTCTTGTTTCAAAGAGGCACCTTAGATTTTGGAAGAAAGGAAATAATTTCAAAGATGCATGCAATACAGGGAACATGATGTACAACTTCTTCTCTCAGTATACACTAGAAATTAATAAAATAGGAAAATTTGCAAAATGGGTGAGAATTTTACATTTACTGAGAAACTGATGATCAAAACCAAAGTGGATGCAACGACTCTTGATGTACAACTTCTTCTCTCAGTATACACTACAAATTAATAAAATAGGAAAATTTGCAAAAAGGGTAAGAATTTTACATTTACTGAGAAACTGCTGATCAAAACCAAAGTGGATATGACTCAAAAAATACATGCATTCACACTACAGACAGTTGAAAGGCTGAAGAGTCTATTAGGTTTCATGCAAATCAGAACTCAAACATCTGCTGCTCAACCTCTAAACTGGTGAGATACAATATAACTAGAACTACAATGGGAACAAGTCTGCAGTATTTTAACTTTTAAACTTCAATCACATTCTTCTCTCAGACTAATGAATTTGCATAACCTCCAGCTAAGTGATGAGAGATATACTAAACAGATGTTGAATAATCCAGCAAATTTAATACCAGCTTTCTTCCCCAAACAGAATTAGTAATTTAATTTTGTTCTGCCATGGAAGGACTTAAACAACCAGCTTACCTCACCTGTTTTTTTCCCTTGTATTTGACATTATTAAGGTTCCCATACAAAGAACTCATGTGTACTCCACTGATAGTTTATAGCTTTAAAAAAAAAAAAAAAGGAGCTTAAAAGCTGGAGGGAGAGGGGGCGTCTCTGTAAATGATACATTCCTACACAAAATCAGAATACTTTTAATATAAAATTTTAAAAAAAAAAAAAAAAAGATGGAACTTAAAACCTGGAGGGAGTGGGGGTGTCTCCGTAAATGATACATTCCTAAACAAAATCAGAATACTTTTAATATAAAGTCATTCCTTTTGCATGAACTATGGATTTACTACACAAATTGCCAGATTGGAAAAAATATTCCTCCAAGGAATATCAGAAGTTTCAGAGCAGATTTGCTTCAGCCTTCCTCATGCTTCTGCATTTGCTTGAGTTAATAATTATTTGCAGAAATAGACAAAAAACAATTTCTGAAAGTGAAATTCAGAAGTTTACAGGAACTGAATTGAGAAACGTGTTCATTATCTGCACTGACACAGGTAGTTTTCTAACAAAAGACTTCGCCAGTCCTCTCCATGAACATCAACTTCTAACAGAATTAAATGTAACCCTTGTCCATTTACCCACTTATCTGGAATTGAGGCTTTACAGCTTCTCCGTCTCAAAACAACAGAAGCATGACCCAGAAAAACAGAGAAGACCATGGATTCCTTAAGTTACTCCAACCTTCAAATTTTATTTCTCAGATGTTTTCTTTAAGCACTTCTGACACAAAGATTTCTGGAAGCCAGTAACCAGTCAGTAAAAAATTCAATATTGAGCATACTGGAACATTTCTTTAAATAAAAAATCCTTTTACATCTTCCAAGACACCTGAACCAGTTCTCTCTCCAGAAATCAGTAAATCTGCAGCACTGTGAGTGCATTTACAGAAGCTTTAAACATTCCAAGCAAGTTTCTTCTTTTTCACAAATTAGTGGAAGCCCATTATGCAGATCTGAAAATAGAGTTTGGCCTCTTTTATAGTGCTTACAGTTATAAGAAATAAAATAAAAATAGGCCGTGCAGCTAGTCCCTTTTAGTTCCTTTACCCAAGGATTATATCGTCTTCACTTTTTCACCTGGTAGCTAAAATTATTCTTCTCATCTCAAATTAATATCATCCTCCTAAACAGCATTAATCTTCTTTTCTAAAGCAATGCAAAGCCTCCCAGTTTTGCGGGGTATGCTGAGTTGAAAAAGCATGTCACTTAAATACTGACTATAGAAGGATAATAATACATGCCTGTTTCAGTACACGTTAAGCATTTCTTTTACCACACAAAACAGGCAACATCCCAGGGAATGCAGTTTTTCCAAATCCCCTATACTTGCATATGTGTGCTTAAAGCAAGAGAGCTCACTGTACTAAATAGTAATGATCTACCACACAGCAGTCCCCAAAACAGGCAAAAATTATAATGAGTAATGACAAGCTGAGCAAAGATAGGAAAAACTCTCTGCTTAAGACTTAAAGTAGCTCTAGAGGAAACAGTCTGCTTTGACCAGTTTTCTAATCAAGGGCCCATTCTTCTTCCTTCACTTCCAAGCATTTCTTTCTAGTATTCCTGCCTTATTCATCCCTTATTCCAAACATGAACAAATAGGATAAATTAATAGCTTCTCAGCTATACCTTTGAATGCTGCTTCTGTGTTCCCCACTACCAGTAGGAAATCCTAGAAAACACTAGTATTTCTTTATCTTCTTCCCCCCCACCATTGTCTTGTGTTTTGAAAAAACAAGTAAGAGACAAAAGCTGTGGCTGAGAGAAGGAAGAGGTCACATATTCATATCCTAACACAGTTTTCATTTTTGTAACTGCTAGAAGTACAGGTCATACCTAAAAGCACATTATCACGCTAATTTAATATCACATAATAACACTGATTTTTGCTTTGGTTTGTGAGAAAAGGGAACAATTCCAAAAGGTATTTCTTGGAAACAAACTGCAGATCTAAGCTTACACTTCTTTCCCCCCCCAGGCAAAATTAATGTGCTTCAACTACTGCGTTCTCTCCACAAAGTTGTTTTTTTTTTTTTTTAAATTGTTTTTTTTATTTTTAAAATTGTTTTAAAATTGTTAAAATTTTTAAAATAGCTTATCTAAGAGCTTACCTGCCCTTAGAAGTCACATTATGAAAGAGAAAGCTAATTTCAGAATATTTATGAAAGCCTCAGAAGAGCAGACTTTTTTTTTAATTCTTTAAGTTACTCTAAGTAGACCTAGGGGATATTGCAGGGTTCTTCACCTGTCTTTGACCCATCTGACATAAGAGACAGCTGCAAAACCTGTAACTATCAATTCAGTCACTAGCATAAGTCAGTTATGTACACAGAGATTCATTTGTAACATATATTACTTTCTGAACTATCAACATGCAGATATTTACATCTTCATGTCGTTACACTATGAAAAATGTTGATAATACAGCACAAGATACAGACCACGTTCCTGTGTCAGATCTGCCACTTTTACAATAGCTCCAGATTAAGACAACTCTAACTGTAGCAGCTTTTAAAATTCATTCCTAGATACTTCTCAAAACTGTAGCTGTAACACCTCAAATATTTAAACATTTGAGAATTCTGAGTCAAAAAAAGAGCCACATCTGTCTAAAAGAAAAAATACACCGCTGATCTGAATTACATACAAAACACTAAAGGCAGTAGATTACTCACAGCATTTTTTCTTATCTATACCAGTCCATAGTACACAGCCCTCCAGGACTACATACTATACCTGCATACTTTGATACAGTCATTGCTATGTAGCAGTTTCCCACTTTACTTAATCAGACTCTGAATTATTTTTATGGGCAGGAAAGACACCGCTTATTTTGCACACACTTTTGAATGTGCTTTGATAGTGCTCCTCAAGAATTGTTGTAATAGAAAAAACACACAGTGATGGCGAGATTTCCAAACAGTATTTTAAGTATATAAAGATTAGAAGTCTGTGTGATTATTACTCACCATTGCCAAGTCTGGAGACAATCCAACAACACATAAAAAAAGAGATTTAATTTACATCAAGTTACAGAGTTCCATAAAATGCCAGTGATGTATCTAAGCAGGACTAAAGCCATACAAGAGCAGCTTCACACAACTTTTCTAGTTTGTCAATCTTACCTGCACCTAGACCTAATCAGTATGTGCAAGTAATAGTACAAAAGCATGATTTCTGGGAGACCCAGAAATAACTTCATAAAGAACAGAGTATCAAGACACAGCTATTTAGCAAAAGAGTTACTCAAAAAGTTGGAAAGTACCACAGTCAACACTGTCTACAAAACTAACTTTGATCTTTCACATTTATATATTACCAAACAAGATAAA